GCGCCGCCGCGCTCCCAAGCGGCACACTCTCCAGTGCGCCACCGGGCCAGCCCAAAAAGTCTTTTTTTAAAAAATCAATTGGAGGGGCCGGCCCGGTGGCGCACTCGGTAGAGTGTGGCGCTTGGGAGCGTGGCGGTGCTCCTGCCGATGGTTCGGATCCCATATGGAGACCGGTCTGCTCACTGGTTGAGCGCGGTGCGGGCGTGACACCGAGGGTTGCGATCCCGTTGCCGGTCGCGGTACGGGCGCGACACCGAGGGTTGCGATCCCGTTACCGGTCACGAAAAAAGACAAAAAGGGAAAAAAAAATAAAAATAAAAAATCAATTGGAGCTGCATATCAAAGTGTTTACAGATAAAACGGCTTGATGCTGGGGATCTGCTTTACAATACTCTGGGGGAAAAAAGAAAAGTTTTGGGGAGACTAGATGATTCAAGATTGGATAAATGTTGAAAACTGTTGCAGCTGGATAATGTCTCATGGAAGTCTGTTATATGTTCCTTTCTCCTTTTGTATGTATTTGAACACTTCTGTCATAAATAGGTGGGGTTTTTTGTTTGTATTTTCTTTTTTAAGGGCTGGCTGGTAAAGGGATCCAACCCTGGACCTTGGTGTTATTGGCACCACGCTCTAAGCAACTGAGTTAATGGGCCAGCTCTCCTAAATAGTTATTTTTATTTATTTTATTTTTTATTCTTAAATGAGAGAGGGGTTTTTATTGTTTTTTTATTGTTATAAAAGCAAGTTCGCCCCCCTCTTGCTCTGTCTTGTCCTTCTGCCTTCTTCTATGGGATGATGTGGCAAGAAGACCCTCACCAGGCACCGCCCCTCAACCTTGAAATTTCCAGCCCTTGAAACTGTAAGAAACAATTCTTTTTTAAAAATAAATTACCTAATCTGTGGTATTCTATTAAAGCAACACAAAATGGACTAAGACAGTGGTTTTATTTAATTTTTCTTTTGTAATAAACTTTTTAGTTTGGAATAATTTTATTTATTTATTTATTTTTGGCAGCTGGCTGGTACAAGGATCCAAACCTGTGACCTTGGTGTTATAACAGCCTGTGCTCAGGGCCGGCCCGTGGCTCACTTGGGAGAGTGCGGTGCTGATAACACCAAGGCTGCGGGTTTGGATCCCTATATAGGGGTGGCCAGTTCGCTCACTTCAGAGGGTGTGGTGCTGACAACACCAAGTCAAGGGTTAAGATCCCCTTACCGGTCATCTTTAAAAATAAATAAATTAATTAATTAATTAAAATAAATTAAAATAAATAACAGGCTGTGCTTTAACCAACTGAGCTAATCAACCAGCCTGTTTTTTGTTTTTTGTTTTTTTAGTTTGGAATAATTTAAAATAAATTAAAATAAATAACAGGCTGTGCTCTAACCAACTGAGCTAATCAACCAGCCTGTTTTTTGTTTTTTGTTTTTTTAGTTTGGAATAATTTTAGACTTACAGAAAAGGTGCAAAGATAGTTCAGAGAATTCCCATATACCTCTCACTGAATTTTCCCCTAATGTTAACAGCTTATAAAACCGTGATAAATTTGTCAAAGATAGGAAACCAAAACTGGAACATTACTATCAACTAAACTATAAACTTAATTTGGGTTTCACCAGTTTTTTCTATGAATGGTTATTTTTAAGAGGGTTAAGAACATCTGTGAATCCATCTAACAGATTCATACTCATAAAGAAATACGTGTAAAGATTTTTGCTGTGGTTGTGTTTGTCAGAGGAAAAGGCTAGAAACGACCTTCCTGTCTGTTAATAGGGGAAAATGTGGCTGGGCAGTTAGCTCACTTGGTTAGAGCATGGTGTTGATAACACCAAGGTCAAGGGTTTGGATCCGCATACTGGCCTGCCACCAAAACAAAACAATAACAAAAAATTGCAGTGGAATAGTATGCAGCCATGAAAAAGGAAGAGGCAGTTCTGGGGCTGCTGGGGAAAGATTTTTAGGATATATTATTTAGTGGAAAAATTCAAAGTGCAGAATAGGGTGTATAACAAGTGACTGTCTGTGTAAAGCAAAAATGTAGCCAACATGTCAACGCCTGTGAGTACTCAGGATATTTCTGGAAGGAGATACAAGAACCAGGGAATCTGGGGAGATGAGAACTGGAGCTGGGAAATGATTCATCACTGATTCCCTTTCCTGTGCCTTTTGGATTTTGCACCTAGGGTGCTGGCTTGGATGGGGAGGCTGGAGGTAAGGTAGGGATGGAGCACATCAACTTTGAGAAAGACCTTGAGGTTTGCGCCCATAGGGTGCAGAACTAGTGAGAAAACAACAGAAGCTTCTAAGGTGAGCAGCCACAGGCTGGATAATAATAACGGTGCATCAAGCTTTGTGTGCTTTGACATCAGATCACAATCATGCTGGCTAATGCTTAGATAGAATCTACGTGTGTTCCAGACTCTGTTATAACTGCTTCATACATCATAACTCATGTAACTCCCATGGCAACTCAACGAGGTGGGGCTGTTCTTACTCCCATTTCACAGATGAGCAAGTATAGGCCCAGGAAGGCAAACTCACTAGGGCAAGATCAAAGCCACACAAGTTAATGTAGAAATAAGCATCTGCTTATTTAAGCTTCCTATTAGGTGTATGAAGCAGTCGCAGTTCTCACCTCTGTTTCTCAGTTGGAGAAACAGAGGCAGAGAGGGGAGGTGACGTGCCCAAAGTCACACAGCTAGGGAGCTGAAGTCTGGGATTCTGGCTCCAGAGTCTGGGTACCTCACATGCCTGGGTCCTTATGCCTGGGAAGGTCTTTCTTGGTTGTATTTTTGGGAAGCAGAAGGGCCAACAGTACTCCAGGACAAGATTTTCTTTCAGCTTAAATTTTGACTAGATAATTCCGCCTGGGAAGGTCTTTCTTGGTTGTATTTTTGGGAAGCGGAAGGGCCAACAGTACTCCAGGACAAGATTTTCTTTCAGCTTAAATTTTGACTAGATAATTCATTCACTTGGTCCAGAAAAGTAGACTGAAAAGTCCCCTTCCGACCCTGGTGCCCAGCCTCCCAAGTTCTCAAATACACATGGGTCACTGCTGTTACTGGATTCTTGTGTCTCCTTTCAGAATTTCTTTAGCCAAACAGAAGCATATATCTTTTCTCTCGCCCTTTGTATACACTAATGCAGAGGTTAGCAGGCCAAATCTGGTCCATATCCCGTTTTTGTAAATAAAGTTTTATTGGTAGATGGTCATATCCATTCATTTATGTATTGTCGGTGGGGACTTGCATGCAGAGTTAAGTAACTGTCACAGAGACAGGATGGCCAAAAATACTTACAATCTGGCCCTTTAAGAAAAGGTGTACCAACCCCTGGACTAAAGGAAGCAGCCATACCCACTGTTCTCTAGCCATTTGATTTTTCCACTTAACCATGTATCGCAGCAATCTTGCCAAATCAGAACATAAAAAATGTCCTTATCTTTTTCCACAGTTTTGTGGTATCCCACCGTGTGAATATACCTATGTTTGGCTGGTTCTCCCATAATGAGACATTTGGGATTTTTCCAAGATTTCACTCCTACTAACAGTGCTATGACTGGGTATACACTTGCTATGGATTAAATTGTGCCCCCTAAAGTTCCACATATTAGAAACTTAGCCCCCACTGTGACAGTGTTAAGCGGGTGGGAAATCCTATTATGGTTATTGAAAGATGGGCTCTTGAGGAGGTGATTAGATCATGAGGACTATGGCCCGGTGAATGGATGGTGGCCATGGATGTGATTCTGATGGCTTTAAAAGAACGCATGAGAAACTTTCTGCTCAATCCGTCTGCCCTATGACACCCTGCGTTGCTGTGCAGAGTCACCACCAAGAACAAGGCCCTCACCAGCTGTGTTCCCTGGAATTCGGGCTTCCCAGCCTCCGAAAATGTAAGCAGTAAATATTGTTTCTCCACAAATTACCCAGTTTCAGGTATTCTGTTATAAGCAACAGAAACAGACTAATACAACACTATACATGCTGCTTCTCACATGGGTGAGGATGTCTCCAGAAGATATCTCCAGAAATGCTCCAGGGCATGAGCAGTGGGGCAGAGGGAGTTTCCATAGGTGAATTCCCTTGAAATTAAATGGAGAAGGTGGCATACACATGGGTATTTTTCTGGGCAGATCCTCAAAGGGCTGATGGTGACTGTGGTTGGGGCTGGGGCCTGAGGGTGGGAATGAGGTTTTGATTCTGTGAGACCCAGGGCCTGTGGCCCAGGCTGGGCACTAACCAAGGTCATCGGCGAGCCTCCGGCCATCCTCGGTAGACACGACACGCTCGTCCTCCAGGTCACACTTGTTCCCCACAAGGATGACCTGGGCATTGTCCCAGGAGTAGGTTTTGATCTGCGTGGCCCTGTGGAGTTACAGGCCATGAGCTAGGGGTTAAGGGTCAGGGGAGAGGGTGAAAGTCGGGGGTGCTTGGTCAGTAAGCACTCACCAGTCCTGCACGGCGGCAAAAGACTCCTGGTTGGCGACGTCATACATGAGCAGGAAGCCCATGGCCCCACGGTAGTAGGCTGTGGTGATCGTCCGGTAGCGCTCCTGACCTGCCGTGTCCTGGGCACACAGCAGGTTCAGGTGGCTAGAAGCCACCCCGTACCCCACCTCGCGCCACCCCTGCAGGGCCCTGCTGAGAGGGGCAGTGCTCTGTGCTCACTGCCCCAGTCTGATGAGGGAGACATGGACCTGCCCACACAGCCTCTAGTCTGATGGGCAAGACGTACTCATTCTCAAGGGACCCCCCAGTGTGACAGGGGAAACAAGGCCCTACCCTTTGATGGGTTCCCAGTCTGAGTGGTCAGTGGCCTCTCATAGACTTAGCCCCCCTGGTCCCATCTCCAAGAACCAACTTAATGAACATGAACCACTTGGGCAGGAGCTCAGTCGGGGTCCCCGGGCTCACTCTGACATGGTGCCCATCTCTCTTCCCCATTCAAACCTGCCCCAGGTTAGTACTATCTCTCCCCTCAGCCCCCAAGGAATAGTACTGTCTCCCCACGGGTTCCCCCAGGGCAGGGCACATCCCCCTCGTCCTGATGAATTCACCTCCTAGGTAATACTCCCCTACGTGTCACACCTCCCCCAATCCCCTCCCCAACTTTGGGCCACTCTCCCTCACCTAGGAACCTTCCCCACAGTCCTAACCTGCCCATGAACTTCCCTGGAGGGACTCCTGCCCCTCGCCACAGACCACTCACCCAGATCTGGAGCTTGATCCTCTTGTCATGGCGGTAGACGGTCTTGACCTTGAAGTCGATGCCCACAGTGCTCACAAAGGCGGGCGTGAAGGAGTCGTCCGCATATCGGAACAGGAAGGACGTCTTGCCCACGCTGCTGTTACCAATCAGCAACAGCTTGAACATGTAGTCGAAGTTCTGGTCAGCCGCGTCCCGGGGCCCCGCAGGGGGGTCTCCAGCTGATGCCATCTTGGCAGGAGCCTCTTGGGGGGAGCCCTGCGGGGAATAAAAATCAGGCCTGGATTCAAATCCCAGCTCTACCACTTGGAGTCCAAGTGTCCCTGGCCACAATGCCTGCTCTCTCTGGACCTCGGTGTCCTCTTCTGGAAAACGGGATGTGTGTCAGAGTCCCTACTTGAAAGGATGATTGGTTGTGAGCCTGACAGTTTCTTAGGGCTGGCTGGTTAGCTCAGTCGGTTAGAGCATGGTATCATAACACCAGGGTCAAGGGTTCGGATCCCTGTACCTGCCAGCTGCCAAAAGAACCTGAATTTCTTTATCCATTCAGCAAACATTTACTAAGTGCCTAGTGTGTGCCAGGCTCTGTTCTCCTTGGAGACACAGCAGTGGATAAGTCAGGAAAAAGCCCACCCTTGGGGCGATCATACTCCTTCCCATGGGAGGTTACTGATACACTTAATGGTCCTAAGACAGTGCCTGGCATGTAGTTGGTACTCCATAAACGTGACTGCTGTTTACTCTTCACGCCCTCCTGCAAAATTGAGCCTCTGTTGGGGTTGGGGGAGGCCCTTCCTGTCTTGAGGCGCAGGGCCAGGGTGTGGGGGAGCACAGAGGGTTCCTCCTTTGGCCGCTGAGGAACCAGACTCTGCAGAAGGTACAGGTGTGGACTTTGCCCCAGGTGAGCAGCTGTCGTGGCCCAGGTGTGAGCGGGGGTGAGGGGGTGGAGGAGACCTGCCAGCTGGAGAGAGCCCCCCTGTCAGGGCTCAGGTGTTGACTTTAGCAGGTGTCTGCCACTGGGGTGCCTGCCCTGCCCCCACCCAAGTTGAATCTAACCCCTTCCATGACGCCCAGGGCGAGGGGGGTTTCTGTGGATACAGCCCAGGTTTGAAGCCCAGCTCTATCCCCAAATGGGTACCGCCATTTCTATTTGTCAATGGGGCCGGGCCTGTCTCTCTCCGCCAAGGCTGACTCACCCCAACCCCAGCCCACAGAGGCATGTGTGAGAGTCCTCAAATCCAAGAAGACCATCCCAGCTACCTAATTATAACAAGTCCCACCAGCCCGGCTCCCACCGCCCCCGACTCCCGGTCCTTCCTCTCCAGGCAATCTATCCCACGGCCAGGCTGCTGCCCTGTGCCCATTCCAAGGTCTTGTTTCCTCTGGGTCCAGCTTGCCCCCTCAACCCTCATTCCCTTCTCAGGCCTCAGTTTCCCCAGCTGTCTATGGCTGCTCCCTGAACCACACAGGGGGGCTACAAAAGGCCTGGATGAATGACGGGCACACAGGCAGAGCAAGCCCTGGCAAAGCTGTTTCTCAACCACCTCTGGGGCTTTTTTACATTTTAAACGAGGACCCAACCGGCCCCACCCCGTGTTCCGGGAGAACGAGTTTGAGAGGGGAAGAGAAGCGGCAGGAAACCTTTCCCCATGCTGGGCAGGGCCGCCAGGCCGGGGCCCCAGCCCCACCCCGAGCCTCAGCCCCCCTCTGTCAGCCGGTGCCACCTCTTCCTGACCATCTGCCGACCCTCCCTCACGCCTGGCACTAGGTAAGTGTCCACGGATGGCTCGGTTCTGGCCCCCTTCACTGGATTTGGGGCGGCCCAGCCGGTGCAGGGGAGCTCAGGAGCTTCCCCCCATCACCATATGGTCCCATCGCGGGTCCCCAGCTGGGCTCTGTGCCCCGCCCGCGCCCCATTAGCGCTCCCCGATGAGCCCAGCTGGGTGGGGGCGAGGGCAGAGGCGTCTCCTGCAGCCCCGCCTTTGTTCCCCAGGCCCCCGGCCCTCCGCCTAATCCCCTGCCCCCCGGACCTGCTGAAACACCGAGGTGCGGGGTTGGGGGCGCTCCCTCCGAGGGGGTCACCTCGCGTGGGCGGTGCTGCCCCCGGGGGTTCCTCCTCCGAACTCGCTGCGGCCTGTCTCTGGCCGCGACCCCAGCCCCGCAGCCGCCTTCACCGCTGTCCGCAGCCACCCGGATCCCGCACGGGCTCCGCCCAGACGGAGGAGGAGGGGCCGAGTCCGGGGCGGGGCTTGCAGTGAGCGGGGGGCGGGGCTGAAGCGCACCGCCTCTCTAGAGCCCGCCCCCCAGCAACAACCATCTTTTTCCCCCGCTATACGTAGAGATCTCCTGCTACGTGTCCAGCGGCTAAGAGCGAGGACTATGGAGCGGGGTTCGAATCCCAGCTCCACCACTTTCTAGTCTTGTGACTTTGGACTCATTACTTAACCTCTCTGGGCCTCAGTTTCCTCTTCCGTCAAGTGGCCCATAGCAAGAATACCCACCTCACAGGGTTGTGGGGGAATTCTGATCTAACTAATGTTTGTAAAGTGCAGTGCCTGGACTAAAGTGGGCTGGTCCCTTTGCTAAATATTCTTTAGGGCTCTTGGAAGTAAACCCGCTTTTATAGTTAAGGAAACGAAGGCTCAGAGAGGGACAGCTTCTTGCCTAAGGCCACTCAGTAAGGAGATTTGGCATCCAAGCCCAGCTGAGGTCCCAGAGTTTTCTTCAAGCCAGCAGGAGAGGGTCCACAGTTATAACTGTTCAGACTTTGCTGGTGTTCAAATCCCAGCAACTCTACCTCAAGCCACTTGCCAAAATTCTCTGAGCCTTACAACAGCAGCTGCCTCCAAGGGCTGCCACATGGATGAACTGAGATGAAGTGCATTAGTTAGGAAGAGCTGGGTTATGCTCAGTAACAAGCAGCCCCCAAATCTCCATAGCACCCAGCAGCCAAGGTTTGCTTCTCACCACAGTTATCGTGGTTAAGGGAAAATGCAGCAAATTATGCACCATCTTGTAACACTTCTCCTTGGATGTGACACATGCCACCTCTGCTCACTTTTTTTTTTTTTTTTTTTAAAGATGACCGGTAAGGGGATCTTAACCCTTGACTTGGTGTTGTCAGCACCACGCTCAGCCAGTGAGCGGGAGTTCTTCTTTAATAAGTACAGTTTACAAAATGAAAAGAGCTTTGTAGATGGATGGTGGTTATGGTTGCACGCTGATATGAATGTACTTTGTACCACTAGCCTGTACATTTAAAAATGGTTAAGATGGTAAATTTTATGTTACATGTATTTTGGTACAATTAAAAATAAATACTTTTTAAAAAGTAGTGCTAAGACAATTTGATACCTGGAAAAAGAAAAATTTGTATCCATATTTCTTTCTTTCTTTTGTTTTTTTTTTTAAAAGATGACCGGTAAGGGGATCTTAACCCTTGACTTGGTGTTGTCAGCACCACGCTCTCCCAAGTGAGCTAACCGGCCATCCCTATATGGGATCCGAACCCATGGCCTTGGTGTTATCAGCACCGCACTCTCCCGAGTGAGCCACAGGCCAGCCCTCTCTGCTCACGTTTTATTAGCCAAAGCAAGTCACATGGCCACTCCCAAGGTCAGTGAGCTGGGATTGTCTTCTAGGATCAGAACCAGTTATTGTTACAACAATACATGGTGTGTTCAAAGGTTAGCACCATGCCTGGCATACAGCAGGTGCTCAACAAATGGGCACCATCATAGGAGGGGCTTAGGAACCGAAAAAGCTGACACTATCATAGACGGGGCTTAGGGCTGCAATAGCTGACACTCCAAATCATCATGACTCATGAATGGGGAAACTGAGGCCCCTTAGCTCAACCCTTGCTCTCCCCTCCCCCTGCTTCTCATGGAGGGAAAAATGACAGCAGTCATTTCCAAAGAAGCATTTATTGGCATGCAGAACCCATACTAGAGGCTCCTGAGGCCCAGGGCAAGGCCAGCGAGACAGAGACCGTTGCTCAGGAGGCAGCCCAGGTTGCAAAGGGAGGACAGGCCATGGTAGCGGAAGAAAATTTGGCGGACAGCACTGTACTTGGGATCCTTCTCCCGCAGCTGGCGGTAGGGGTCAGGGCCCTGGTGTCTCCCCGGCACCTCCCCACCCAGGCCTCGCTCCTTCTCCACAGTCTGCATGGCCCACATGGCAGCCGTGGTGCGGGGCTCCAACCAGCGGGCATTGATGGTGGCCAGCGTGAGGCTCAGGAGCAGCAGGCAGAGCTGGCAGGGTGGCAGGAGAACAAGGTGAGCCAAGCCTGGGAGGCAGCAGGGACCCTGGGGAGGGATCTTCTGCATCCTCCCAGCCTAGAGGGAGATGTGGACAGCACTGGATCAAAGCAGTCCTCCCCTTCCTTCCCTGAACCCAGACTGGGGCCCCCAAAGCAGAATTCCAGCTCTTGTAACCTGAAACTGGCAGCCCCTAAAGAAAGGCTCCATCTCCATCTCCTCTATCCCCCCACCAAACCTCCTGATCCTCCTTTCCTCTGATACCCAGACTGGAAGTCTCCAGGGCAGGGTTGTCCCCTCCCCTGACTCTTCCCAAAACTGAGGATATCTAAGAGAAAAAATTAGCACAGAGCAAAATAACTGCTCCTTCATTCCCCCAAAACAGGGAGCCTAAGACAGGGCCCATCTCTTTCCTCTGTGGCTCCAGCCCAGACCCAGAAGCTGACATTGGGCCCACAGGGAATGAATAAAAAGTCTGAAGTTCCAGATACCCATAATCCTCTCCTGCCTCTGTGGGATTATTCTGGGAACACCTGTCAGGACTCACCTGCCCACATCTGAGGAACATAATAGAGGCAGGGGGAGGGCAAAGTAGAGAAATCGGAGATGCAGAGACGATTCCTTGCCTTGTGGCTGGGAAAATGTGTGGATGGGGGCAGGAAACTAATTCCCAGTCAGGCTGGTTTTTAAAACAATGAGCTGGGGTCAGGGCCCCAGCCCAGCTGAGTCACGACAAGTTGGCGGCAGGCCCAGCCAGGAGGAGGAGAGAGAGCAGCAGCCAGTGGGGCTGCTGGGGACAGTTGTGCAGGCTGTGCACTGCTCAAGGATATCCAGAGCCCAACTTTGTATCCACCAGGAAGAAGGGGCACTTTTTCTTTTTCTTGAAAAGGTGTAGCCATAGGTGCTCACAGGGTCCTGGGAACAAGTCTCCAGAGGGTAATGGCACTCAAGCCCGCGTACCTGGCTGCCATCCCAGAATGTGAGCTGAGCCCAGGTGTGCTGAGGAACCAAGATGCAGAGGTTGATGAAGGAACATGCCATGGAGATGTGAAAGTATAAAGGGAAGAGTTTGCTCTGCACCTGGCCGAAGGTATGTCGGGAAAGGTGTCGGAAAAGCAGGAAACCTGTAGGGGTGCAGGAGCCACACACCTGTTAGGACACTTATAAGTCCCCTTCCCATTCCTGTCCTCACCCCAGGAATCCGTGACGTCCAGGCTGAGGGTCCGTACCTGAGACGAAGGTCACCCACATTTGCATGCCCCAGGCACCCGACAAGACCAGTAGATGGACCACCTTAAGCAGGCCTCCCGGATTCCCGCTTTCCTCCATCTTGCAGCCCTGGGAAGGAGAAATGAGGCTGCTCAGAGCTCTCTTTACCTTTGTCCTCGTGGCCTTCAAACCCTCTGAGCCTGCTCAGGGCCAGGGTCACAGCCAATCCAGCAGAGATCCAGAAAAACAGCCCAGAAATGGGGGTGGGGAAGACCCAGAGCAGTCCTGTGACAACCTCCGACCCCATCTCTCCAGATGTCAGCCCTCAAGATCTCAGGTTCAAGGGACCCCAAAATCCATGCCAACTCGGAGACCCCAATTTCAGCTCCAGGAGCTCAAGCTCGCAGTTCTAGGTCTTCAGAGATCACCTCGGTGACTCCCAAATATCACCCCAGGGATCTAGTTCTAACAGTCAAGACCCCTCCTCTCATAACAGAATCCCAGATATATGAAGATCCTCAAAGCACCCCCGGAGATCCCATCTAATCCTGGGAAACCCCAAATCTCATCCCCAGGACACCGACCCCACCATTGGGAACCCGGATCTCAACCCACAGCACCCGGAGTCCGAGACTGAAGGCGCCAGGGCCGGATCTCAGAGGCCAGACGGGCTGACTCGGTACCTCACTCCCGCGCTCCCGGGTGGACCGCAGACCTCCTCGGCCGCTTCCCCTCATGGGCCCCCCTCCCACCACCAACCCAAGAACTCGTCCCGCCTCCCCAGCTGAGCCAGAAACCAATCGGATCGCAGATCTGCCGCCTCCTGTCCCTCCCTCTTAGGTATTGACCAATCGATTAGCAGAAATCCTCCTGCAATCCCGCCCCCTCGCCGGGCTTATCCAATTGCACCACTGCTGCTAAGAGCTGCGGAAGCGGGAAGGCGCCAATGAGGGGTCGGTTACCTCGGCGGGGGCGGAGCTAAAATGCCGGCCACACCCCTCTCTGTGACTACCCTCAGCCTCCGCGCGTTTTGATGCGATGGTGTCCCCACGGAATCAAATTTCAGCGTCACGCTGGGGATTGGCTTCGCGGTCCCTGATGGGAGAACATGAACAGGTGGTATGTGGTAGGTGGGGGTGGAAGGGGTTCGGGGGCCTGGAAGTCACAGGATCCACCGCCGGGGGGCGGGGCACATGCCGATGACCCCGCCCCCTTCAAAGAATTCTCTCGGAAGGGACCGCGTAAGAGACAACTGAGGGGGGAGAGAAAGGGGGAGGAGGAGGCACGTTTGGGGACCTGCCTGCAGTTGGCGCTCAAAAACGCCTCTTCATTTCTCCCTCCAAGCCTCCCAGGGATCCGGTGGTCCCCAGATCCCAGGTTTTCAGCGTGACATTCAAGAACAAACGCTGAGCTCCCCATTACTGTATGCCAGGCACTGTCATGGGTTAATTTACATAATCACAACCACTTAGAGAGGTGTATACTATGACATCCCATTTTTATACTTGGGGACACTAAGGCATGGAGAAGTTCAGTAACTCTTCCAACACCACACAGCTGAGGAGGGACAGACCAACAGCCAGAGAGTCTCCTTGCTTAACCGTCATGGTCTACTGCCTCTGGAAGTGAGGACCTCCCTGAGGCAGTGACTCTTGAAAGGGTAGCCTAGAACATTTCAGGCAGAATAACTTCACAACACAGGGTGGGTGTGAAGATCCAGTGAATACTTAGGGGGTATCCAGCACTCAGTTAGGTGCTCAGAAATAATAAGCCTTAAAAAGGATTAAGGAAGATTTAACAGAGGATATGCTGAGTAGGGTTTTGAAGGGTGTGTAGGAGTTTTCCAGACAGATGGCCAGGAGAAGGACACCAGGCAAAGGGCCCAGCAAGGGCCACAGAAGAGAAAGATCAAGAGTCTTTGGGCAACTGAGAGTGTGGCCCAGGGCAAGGTGTCCTTCACGGTGTGTAGGAGTTTTCCAGACAGATGGCCAGGAGAAGGACACCAGGCAAAGGGCCCAGCAAGGGCCACAAAAGAGAAAGATCAAGAGTCTTTGGGCAACTGAGAGTGTGGCCCAGGGCAAGGTGTCCTTCACCTGGAAGTTTTTCCAGGCAGACCTGCCCCGGTTTTTCCATCTGTGTCAGCCCTGGAGTGGTAAGGGGCATGAATGTGAGACCCAGAGCTGAGTTCTTTCCTATTCTCAGCCTCACCAGAAACAGGCCCAGGCCCCACTTCAGCTAACATTTATTGAATAGACATGCCTCTCCTGTTCACACTCTATGGCTCCCATTTACCTGTGGGGCCAGGTCCAAATGCCTATGCCTGGCCTTCAGTGCTTTACTTGAACTGCTCTGCTAACTACTGCTGCTTCCTCTTGGACCCTGCCTTCAGCCATCCTGAATTTACAAGCACAGAGCACATGGTTCCACACCTCCCAGCTTTTGCACGTGATGTTTCCTGCCATGAATGCCCTTCCTTTAAGGCCTGATATTAAGGTCCTTTTTTTCTTTGGGCTCTGCCTGGACCTCATTTCTTTCTGTGAAGTCTTCTGAGTCCTTCTCACTGCCCAGCCCGATCCCTGGGACTAGAATCATCTTTCATCCAGCTTTGGTTCCTACCATAACTGAGAAGCCTTGTGTTCAGGGCTGAGGCCTCCCTGGGGTGTTCTGGAGGGTCTTGGGGTGTTGGGACATGGGGGCTGGTCTCAAAGCAACCCCTCTCCTCCCTACTCACAGCGACCCTCTTTTGGCCGGCCTGCCCCAGGACCCTACCTATTCTGTGTCCTGCCACTACTTATCTCCCTCATCTTCCACCGTGTGTTTGCGTGCTAACCAGAAGAGTGACAAGTTCTGGGGTTCGTTGGGGGGCTGCTCTGGGGCTGGGGGGCTGGGAGGGGTTGGGAACACAAGGAGTGCTCTGAGCTGCCCCTCAAAGAAGCCCTCAACCCTAGGCTCTTCCTCGGACAAGACTTTGGACTATACGACTCACTGGTCCAGGACCCCAGAGCCAGAGACCTTGGGACCCACTGCTTCTGAGGACACAGTGAGGAGTGTAGACTGGAGGCCAGGGTGGGGGTCAGGCCCTTGGTCACATGGGGCTACCCCCTTCCCCAATCCAGACCTGAAGAAGGAGTGCTGTAATGACCAGGACCTTTTGAAGAGGCATCACAACGTAGCTAAGGTCACCCCCACCCAGGAAACCCCTTCAGTCTGGGAAATCACTGTGATCTACCACTGGGGAACTAGGGAAGGGGCTGTGGGGCAGAGGGATTCTCATTAAAAACACTCACTGTGTATCCTCAGCACCTAGAACAGCACCCGGCACTCAGCAGGCCCTTGCTAAACGTCTTCGATGAATGGATGAAGGAAAGAATGGAAGGAAAGTGAGGTTGTGTCTTTAGTGGCTTTTTGTCTGACTGTCTCTGGGTGTGACTTTGCTTGTGTCTGTGTGGCTGTGGTTGTGTGTTTTGGCCACTGTGTGTGGTTGTGTGTCAGGTGTTATTGGCAGCCACTGCAGATGTCAACAGATGTCTTTTGCCCCTAAAGAGGAGGGCAGTTCCTGAGCCCAAGCTAGAGACGGGACTGGTGTTGGGTGGGAGCCAGGACTCCACAGTTGTCTGTGGTTAGAGGCAGCCAACAGACCTATATGCATATGGGACGAGCCACACAAGTGTACTTCTGAGCATATGAAGGCCAAGGGGGTCGCATGAATGTACCCAGAGGCAGCTTCACTGCACTCGTAGTTTGGGACACCCAGAACTCGGAAGACTCAATTCTTGTGCAATTCTCCAAACTGGGTTGGGGTGAGTGGGAAGGCAGCCCAGAGACAAATTTCCACTCCTCTCCTGTCCTCCTTCCCTAGAAGCCCTTGGAGACCATCTCTTCCAAAGTCAAAGGTGAGAACCCTCTTTCCCAGTGACACTGTGTGGGGAAGACCTGCCAGTTCTTAAGTGATCCCTGCCCCAGCCTTAACAGGCCCTGTTCTGTAACTTTTCCCTGCCCCTCCCCTGCTCTGAGCCTCTGCTGACCTCTGTCCTGCCCTTGCCTGAGCCCAGCTCACTCTCACTTCTGCTCACAGCTAAGTCCACCATGATGATTCCTGACCCCCAGAAGCTCCTGCGATGTGAGCTGGAATCACTCAGGAGCCAGCTACAGGCCCAGACCAAAGTAAGCCACCTTGGCCCTGCCCCCAGCAGCCTCTGTCCCTGTTCCCCCTCCCCCCACCTCGATTTCCTCCGACCCCAGGTCTGACCTCTTCCCCCCAGGCTTTTGAGTTCCTGAACCACTCTGTGACCTTGTTGGAGAAGGAGAGCTGCCTGCAGCAAATCAAGATCCAGCAGCTTGAAGGTGAGGAACAGCCAGAGGTCAAGGCCCTGTCGGGGTCAGCTGGGTCAGGCCAGAGTGAGAGACTTTGGGGGAATCTGGGTTCAAGATCAAGATCAGGCTGGAGGCTGGTCTTGTATGGGTCAGCTGGGTTAGGCCTGGGTGATAGACACTGGGGAAATCTGGGTTTGGGGTCAAGGTCAGGCTGGAGGCTGGTCCTATCAGGGCCAGCTGGGTCAGGCCAAGGTGAGAGACTTTGGGGAAATCTGGGTTCAGGGTCAAGGTCAGGCCATGGTTAGGGCAGGCTAGGTTCAAAGCTGGGCTCTGAACGAGGTCAGGGTTCAGTCCAGGTCCCACCCTCTCTGCAGAAGTGCTGAGCCCGTTGGGCCGCCAGGGAGAGAAGGAGGGGCACAAGTGGGGCATGGAGCAGGGCCGGCAGGAGCTGTATGGGGCCCTGGCCCAAGGCCTGCAGGGGTTGCAGAAGACCCTGCGTGACAGTGAGGAGGTGCAGCGGGCCCGCACCACCCGCTGCCTGCAGCTGCTGGCTCAGGAGATCCGGGACAGGTGGGTGCGGGCAGGAGGGCAGCTGGGAGGCTGTGGGAGGGAAGGGAGGCCAGGAAGGGGAAACTGGGAGCAGGGTGAGGAAAGTTGGAGAGGCCTGGATAAGGGGAACTGGGGATGGTGGAAGGCATGGGGGACAAGAGGAAGGATGGGAGGCTTGGGGGATGCAGGCGGCTAGGACTAGGGGGAGAGTGGGTGGCCAGAAGACAGGGAAGACAGGGAGCGGGAGGTGCGATGGGGATGAGACCAGGGATCAGGAAGCTATGGGGTAGCCGGGGAGGCTGGGGGTGTGAGAGGTCAGGGGACAGGAGGTGGGGAGATGGAGGCCAGGTGATGGGAAGCTGAGGGGGTGGAGAGGCTGAGAGAATAGGAGGCTGGAGGTCAGGAGAGGATGGGGCTGGGGGTGGGAGGGGGGGGTAGAAGTAGGAGCGGGGAAAGTGGGCAGGCAGGTGGGGGAGGGGACAGAGCCTGGGGGGATGGGTAGTTGGATGATGGGGATGTGGGAGGTGGGGGAGGACAGGGGCTGGGCAGGGAGCATGGGTCTAGGCTGCACTGTCCCCTCAGCAAGAAGTTCCTGTGGGAGGAGCTGGAGCTGGTGCGGGAGGAGGTGACCTTCATCTATCAGAAGCTCCGTGAGTGCCCAGAGCCCACAGCCAGGAGGGGCGTCCTTCTGATGCCCCTGTGCCCCTGAGCCCTCTCCCTCCACAGAGGCGCAGGAGGACGAGATCTCGGAGAACCTGGTAAACATTCAGAAGATGCAGAAGACGCAGGTGAAGTGCCGCAAGGTGAGCAGAAAAGACGGGGACCCTGCGGGAAGAGAGGGTAAGGGGATCTCAGCCAGGCGCCACCATCAGACTGGAGCCTGGGTTCAAATCTCAGCTCTGACACTTCCTGCTGTGTGACTGTGGGCAAGTCACTTCCCCTTTCTGGGCCTCAGTTTCCTCCTGCATATAATGGGCATAATGCTGATGCATCCCTCCCTGGTCAGAGTAGCTGTGTTAGCTAGGTGTTAAGCACTTTAAATGTGGGCTGGCATATAATAAGTGCTATGTAGCAGTCACCTTTTGCCATTGTCATATTTATTGCTATTGCTGTTCTCTCATGCCCCCTGGCTCCAGATCCTGAGCAAGATGAAGCAACAGGGGTATGACACGTCTGCCTCGCCAGAGACTGAAGAGATGCCATTGGGAGGCAGTGGCTGCTGGAAAGATGACCTCCAGAAGGAACTGAGTGACATATGGTGATGCCCAGCCCCCAATCTGACCTCTGACTCTTGACCTTCATCTTACCCTTTCCCCCCAACTGGATCTGGCACTGACCACCAGAACCTGGTGCCCATCTGAATCCAGCCCTCTCCCCCTGGGGCTCACTTACACCACAGCCCCCCTGCCCTAGCGCTGCTGCTGTCCCCACCCTGAGCAATCTGAGTCTCCCGGCTCCCCCATCTCTCCATCTCCCTGCAGGTCTGCTGTGCACGTGCTGCAGAACTCCATCGATGGCCTCGCCATATCCTCGGGGGCCCGCCACAGGGTCTCAAGCCTCAGGGGTGAGGGGGACTGAGTATTGCTCAAGGGTGGGGGGCCGGGCTGGGGGAGGGGAGCGTGAGGAGGGGACCCTGGCTGATGAGCCAAGCGATGATGGCTGTGGGTGCTTGTGATTGTGCGGTTGTCATTGTGTGTCAATGTGTGGTTGTGTGACTGTTATGTATGGTTGTATGACTGTGATTGTGTGACTTCAGGGGTCCGCGGGTGTGTGCGTGCGTGACTGTGTTTCCAGTGACTGTCATTGTGTGGCTGTCACTGGGGGTATCACTCCGATGGTGTGTGTGTGTGTGTGGCTATGGTGTTGTGGCTGCTATTGAGTGGCCGTGTGACTGCCATTACTGTGAGTGGCTGTCTTGGTGTTTGGATGGTTGTGTGCATATGACTGTCATTGTGTGGCTGCTGTTGTCTGTTCATTCTGCTTTTGTGTACTGGCGTGTTTCTGTGATTGTGCGCCTTTCTTGTGTGGCTGTGTAGCTGTGTGTGAGACGGTCATGATCCATGTATGTGCCTTGTGTGGCCATGTGGCTTGGTTGTACATGGCAACATCTCTCCTATGACCATCAGTGTGGCTGAGAGACTGTTAATGTGTGTGGCTGTCATCGAGTGCCTTGTAATTGGGGGCGTGACTCTGTGACCCGTTCTGTGACCCCCATTGTGTGTAGTGACTCTCTTTGGTGACTCTTAAGTGTGTTGGCAGTTCTGAGATGTCCCTGACTGTGGTGGGGTGAGGGCTTGTGTGGGGCTGTATGTGGGGCTGGGATGTGTTTAAGCTCTCCTGATGTGTCCCTCTATGTGTTTGTGGGGGGAGGGACTTGTTTGATCTGTGTGGGAGTCTGTGACAGGCCGTGTGCAGACTGTGTGTGTGTGTGTGCAGTTATGGATGTTGGGCACCTGTCTGAATGAGTGGTCCTGTCTTGTTCACCACGAGGCAGGCATCCAGCACAGTGCCTGAAACTCAGCAGGCGCTAAGTCCTCACGGTGGGATGGATGGACAGACGCTGCTCCATGGTGTGTGTGTGTCTGTGGTGTTTGGGATGGAGGCTGTGGCTGGGTTGTGCACTCTAGGGCTGTCAGCGTGGGTGACTCTGTGGGCATCTGGGACCTCTGGCGACCCTAACGCTACGTGTCACACTGCAGACAGAGTGAACCTCGTGAATGGGGCACTGGACCCAGAGTGCCTACACTCGCCTACCTGGGCCTCGGTTTCCACACCTGTGCAATGGGGGTGACCGTCGCTGCCCTGCTGGCCGCCAGGGGCGGCTGTGAGTCTGTGGGCGTGGCGGCGGCCTGTGGGAAGCCATAGGACGCTTTCACAGGTGAGATCAGGCTGGGAGAATGGGTGTAAGCAGGTGTGACTGTGTCGACCCTGAAGCTCTGGGGACTGAAGTTGGACTGGGGGGAGGGGGGAGGAGAAAAGGGAGGCAGACGGGCCGAGAGGAGGGGAAGGAGGGCCTGGCTATCAGCCCACACCAGACACACAGCCCATGGGGACAGAGAGGGGAGCTCCGGGGGAGGTCGTGGGGAAAGGGGCTCGGGGGAGGAGGCTGGTGGAGATGGGGTTCCCCTGGGGAAAGAGGATGGGGTCCCCTAAAACATGATGGGGGTGGGGGCCTTTCTAAATGCCACGGGGCAGCGGCCAGTGTAAAGCTGGAAGAGTCTTTTCTGGGGGGAGGAAGGGGGAGGGGTCCTCCTGAAAGGCGTGGGGTCGAATCTTCTATGCGGCCTGTAGAGGGAGGCGACCAATGCAGAATCTCTGAAGTCCCGGACAGAAGCTGAGCCGGTGGGGTCAGGGGAGGCAGGCGTTTCCAGTGGGCACGGTCAGGGGCCAACAGGGCGGGACCTGGATTGCAGAGGCGTGGCCAGAGGTCAGGGGGCGGAGCCAAGGCTCCCCGCAGTCTAAGGGGCCAGGGCTGTAGCCAGAGGGCTCGGGAGTGGGACCAGGGTCACGGAGACCTGCGCCTTCCCCGAGACCCTGCCCTGGAGCTCCCGCTCTCTTGCCCCATCCCCAGGCCCGGCTTTCACCATGGCGGGAGGGAGACCTCACCTGAAGAGGAGCTTCTCCATCATTCCCTGTTTTGTCTTCGTGGAGGTGAGGACCCCAGTACCTCTCCCAGATGGGGCGCACCTGTCTTCCTGTCTTTCTCTGTCTCTGTCTAATCTCAGTCTCCCTCGTCTTTGCCAGGTCTGTCCCTACCTGTACCTATTTCCCCATCTCCCTTCCTCCAATCCTGCAGTCTCTCTCCCTGATCTCTCCTGTCTCTCTGGGGTCTCTGCTGCTGTCCCCTTCCTCTTGAGAAGTGGCTGAAAGCTTGGACTCAGAAGAGGCAGTCCCTAGGTTCCAATCCCACTCTGCCCCATCCGAACTGCGGGGCTCGGGAGCTCTTGTTCCCTCCTGAGCCTCAGCTTCCTCATCTGTAAAATGGGCATAACTAGAGTCCCTCTCTCTCTTACGGCTGTTATGAAGGTAAAATGTATTAACTCATGGAAGAGGCTTGGTTATGACACCCTGCCCACAGTAAGGGTTATACCTGCAGTATCTGATAGTAGATCTACTATTTCTTTCTCTGTTGGTCTGAACCTCTACCACCCACTGTCTGTCCATCTGTCTGTCTATCTCTCTGGTCTGAGTCTTGGCCCTGTTCTCTCTCTCTCTCTTCCCCCATTCCCCATCTCTCTCTCTTTCCCCTTGTCTTGGTCTTTCTCCATCTTCCAGTGTCTCTCAAACACCACGTCTTACCATCTCTGTGTCTCTGTGGCCTCAGCTGGGGCTCTGATCCTCCTCTCTTCTCTCTTTGCCTCTCCCACCTCCCCCACCCGGGCTGGGCTGCAGTCGGTGCTGCTGGGTGTCGTGGTCCTGCTAGCTTACCGCCTGGAGTTCACAGACACCTTCCCCGTGCACACCCAGGGATTCTTCTGCTATGACAGTACCTACGCCAAGCCCTACCCGGGGCCTGAGGCTGCCAGCCGAGCACCTCCTGCGCTCATCTATGCCCTGGTCACTGCTGGGCCCATACTCACGGTGAGACTGTGGGGGTCGCCTTGGTCAGACCGTGGGGAGGACCTCCCAGGAGGCAGGAGGGCCAGATGGGAGTAGGTGGAGAGCTGAGCTTGAAGGCCAGGAAGACCCTGCAGATCCTCCTTTCTTGGTCTTGCCCACAGATCCTGCTGGGGGAGCTGGCACGTGCCTTTTTCCCTGCACCGCCTTCAGCCCTCCGCACCATCGGGGAGAGCACCATCGTGTCCGGGGCCTGCTGTCGCTTCAGCCCCCCGCTGCGGAGGCTGGTCCGCTTCCTGGGTGAGCCTCATGGTAATGGGGGTGGGGTGGGGTGCAGAGGCCAAGAGACATGTGCCCAGTTCAGCCATAATAAGAATTCCAATGGAAAGCAGGAGGGCCTAAAATTGCCATGATGGGGACTTTAGGGGACAAAGGGGTCTCAGGCCAGACATAATGGAGATACCAGGGACATGGATGGGGCCTAACCCAACCATGATGTCAACTGTAGGAGAAGGGCCCAAAAATGCCAAAAGAAGAGTTAGGTGGAAACGAAAGACACAGGCACAGGCCAAACACAATGGGCCCCGCGGCAGTGAGATGATACTCCGGTTGTGATTTAAATGGGGTCCCAGCCACAACTGGTGGCCATCGGGAGGTGGAAGCAGAGCTCATTTGTAATAGTGGCCCCAGTGGCAGAGAACTGGGGATCCAGCTCTGGCTTGTTAGTGGACCCAGGAGAAGTGATTGACTCAGTAATAGCGGGTTCAGGAGCAGATATAAAGAGGCCCATAAATGCCATTAGGGTGATCCTAGGAGGTCCCAGGCATGGGCCCAATCCTGATGCAGCGATGGTGTTGAGGGGTCCCAGCCCAGCTATAATGAGGTTCCAAGGAGGGGCCCGCTCCTGATATGTTGGTTATCCCAGAGGGACACACAGAAGCCAGATGTGCTGTAATGAGGAGCCCATGGGCAGGAAGCCCAGAGTGCCATCATCGTGGTCCCAAGGGAAGGGGGACCTTGGCCCAGCTATAGTGGGGTCCCAGGTGGGTTTTAATGGTGGTCACAGTAACAGAGAGATAAGAGGCCCAATGGAACCATAAGGGGCTCTCAGGAAGAAGGCCCAGAGCATGAACCCCCTCTCCTACACCACCCCCAGGGGTCTATTCCTTCGGCCTCTTCACCACGACCATCTTCGCGAACGCAGGGCAGGTGGTGACCGGCAACCCCACGCCGCACTTCCTGTCAGTGTGCCGCCCCAACTACACGGCCCTGGGCTGCCCACCGCCCTCGCCTGACCGGCCGGGGCCCGACCGATTTGTCACCGACCAGGGCGCCTGTGCTGGCAGCCCCAGCCTCGTGGCCGCCGCACGCCGCGCCTTCCCCTGCAAGGACGCGGCCCTCTGTGCCTACGCGGTCACCTACACGGCGGTGAGCCCCGGGAGCTGCGGGGTCAGCAATGGGGACGCGGGCTGGACGGCGGCCAGTGAGCAGGAGGCCGCAGGGGCTGGAGACTCCGATTCCTCCCTGGCGTGAGACCACGCCCCGGTACTGTGACACCGCCCCTAGGGCAGAGTCTCCCCTTTGTGGGCTCTGGCTCCGCCCCTCAAACTCTAGCCACGCCCCCGAGACTAAGTTTATTGCTGTGTCCATTGACTTTACCCCTTGGTGTCTGGCCACGCATCCTGAGCCAGTAATGCCACGCCCC